TTTTTTTGTCTCTATGTCATTAATTTCTGCTCTGATCTTTATTATTTCCTTCCTTTTACTTCCTTGGGGCTTTTCTTGCTGTTTTCTTTCTAACTCTTTTAGTTGTTTTGTTAGATGGTTTAGTAGAGCTTTTTCTTGTTTCTTGAGGTAGGCCTGTGCTGCTATGAACTTTCCTCTCAGGGCTGCTTTTGCTGTGTCCCATAGATTTTGGGTTGTTTTCTGTTCATTTTTGCTTTTTTCCAGGAAGGCTTTGATTTCTTCCTTGATCTCATTGGTAACTAACTCATTCACTGTTTAATAACATGCTATTTAACCTCCATGTGTTTGAATGATTTTTTGTGTTTTTATTATAGTTGATTCCTAGTTTCATACCATTGTGATTTGAGAAGATGCTTTTTATTATTTCAACCCCCTTAAATTTGTAAAGACTGGTTTTGTGCCCTAACATGTGGTTCATTTTTGAGAGTGTTTCACGTGCACTTGAAAAGTATGTGTATTTTGCTCCTTTGGCATGAAATGTTTCTTAAATGTCAATTAAATCCGTTATCTGTAGTATATCATTTAAGGTCTGTGTTTCCCTGTTAATTTTTTGTCTTGATGATCTGTCCAAGACAGATGATCACAGTAAGGTGTTAAAGTCCCCCACTATGATTGTGTTGTTGTCGATCTCCCCCAAAAAGTCCACCAAGAAATTTTTTATATATTTAGGTGCTCCTATATTAGGTGCATATATATTTTTAAGGGTTATTTCCTCCTGTTGTATCAATCCTTTTATTATTATGTAGTAACCTTCTTTGTCTCTTCTTATGGTCTTTATTTTGAGTCTATTTCATCAGAAATAAGTATTGCTACTCTAGCTTTTTTGTCGTTTCCATTTACATGGAATATTTTTTCCCCCATCCCTTCACTTTCAGCCTGTGTGAATCTTTTGCTCTCAGGTGGGTCTATTGTAGACAGCATATTATTTGGGTCCTGTTTTCTTATCCATTCAGCTACCCTATGTCTTTTGATTGGACCATTTATCTGTTTACATTTAGGGTTATTATTGATATGTACTTATTTAATGCCATTTTTTCCTTTATGCCGATGTACTTTTCTCTCAGTATTTCTTCTTCTTAAAGCAGTCCTTTTAGCATTTCTTGCAATGCTGGTTCGGTGGTACTGAACTGCTTTAGCCTTTTTTTGTCTGGGAAGCTCTTTATTTCACCTTCAATTTTAAATGATAGCCTTGCTGGATAAAGCAGTCTTGGTTACAAGTTCTTGCTTTTCATTATTTTGAGAACTTCATGCCACTCCCTTTTGGCCTGAAGTGTTTCTGTTGAGAAATCTGCTGTCAGCCTCATAGGGGCTCCCATGTATGTCACTGCTTGTCTCTCCCTTGCAGCCCTTAATATTCTCTTTTTGTTCTTGACATTTGCCATTTTATTTATGATGTGTCTTCAAGTGGGTCTCTTTGGGTTCCTCTTGTTCGAACCCTCTGTGCTTCCTGAAGTTGTGTGACTTTCTCCTTCACCAGCTTAGGACAGTTTTCTGTCATTATTTTCTCCACCAAGTTCTCTATTTCTCTATCCATTGCTCACTTTCCTCCCCTTCTGGCACCCTTATGATGCAAATGTTGTTTCACTTCATCTTGTCCCAAAGTTCCCTTAAACTGTCCTCATGCTTTTTAGGTGTTTTTTCTTTTTGCTGCTCTGATTGGGTGTTTTTTTCTACCTTACTTTCTAAATTCTTTATTCTATCCTCTGCTTCATTGAGCCTGCTTTTAATCCCCTCCAGTGTATTCTTGATATTAGATACAGTATTCTTCATTTCTGCCTGGTTATTATTTATCCTATCTGTATCTTTTTTCATGTTTTCACTAAGTTCCTGGACCTTCCCATTAAGTGTCTTGTGGTTCTCACTAATTTCTTTGAGCATCTTTATAACCATTACTCTAAACTCTATTTTTGATAACTTGCTCACCTCCATCTCATCAAGGTCTTTTTCTGGTGATTTTTCCTTTTCTTTAGTTTGGGGGTTGTTTCTTTGTCACCCCATTTTAGCTGTCTCTTTCCTTTTGTTCCTATGTATAAGCTAGAACTGCTATGACACCCAGTCTTTATGGGGTGGCCTTATGTAGTAAGTGTCCTGTGGGACACAGTGGTAAAGGCTCCTTGAACTCCTGCACTGAATGATCTAGTAATGTCCCTTGTGTGGGTTATGTAGACCCTCCTATTGTGATTGGGAGCTGATTGTTGTTGGCCCATTCTTTCACCCCACAGAAATGAGCTTAGCAGGATGGTGCCAGCTGGAGATGGGAGTGCAAATCCAATCCTCCCTTTGAATGGGGTGACACAGGATCTCAGACCTGAAGAGGGAAACTAGCTGTTTTCCTTCTAGCTCAGCAGTGCCCTGTCAGGAACCCTGAGGGGATGCTCCAAAGGGGTCACACCAGATTCCCCGGCTCTGGGATATGTCACCTTTCCCATGTGTGGCTTCCCCAGGAGACATATGCAAGTAGAGCTTCAAGGGAGAGAACAAGGCTGCTCATCTCCTTCTGTCTCTGCAGTGCTCTGCTAGAGGCCTTGTTGGAGTGCCTGAGTGAGTCAGGTCCAATATCCAAGCTCTGCTTTGCACCCCCTTCCTCCAGTGGATATGAGATTAGCAGGGTTTTGCCAGCAGAATCTGGGGTACTGGTCTAATCTACCCTTTGATTGAGGTGGCCAGGGCCTTTAGCCCTCAAGAGGGGAGGTAGATACTCTCCTTTAAATCCCACACCAGAGCTCTGGAAGAGCAGCTCCTAGGGGGATGCCCCAGATTTCACAGTTCTGATTTGTACCCCTTTACCCTGTGAGGCTGCAACAGCAGGACAGTTTCAATGGGGCTTGGAGTGATAGATCAAGGCTTCCCTCTCTGCTTGGGGTAGCACTGGCTCTTGTAGGGGGTGGGATAGGGCTTGTCACTCCTCTCTCCTTGCAGCTCACTGCAAGAGGCCCTGATGTAGACCTCCAAGAGGGAGGCTCCAGATGCCCAGTTCTGACTTACAATCCCTCTCCCCTTTTGGTCTGCACTTGGCTGGTGGTGCAGACAGGTTTGGGGAATGCAAATACAGGTGGCCCCTTGTTGGAAGTGGTGCAGGTCCTCATCCCTCAAGAAGGGAGCTAGTCCCTTGCCCTACAGCTCTTCAGCACCCCGCCAGAACTCTTGAAAGGAGGTTCCTAGTGGGTCACACCAGATTTCACAGTTCTGATTTGTGACCCTTTTTCCCAGAAAGCCTGTCCCTGCAGGATGGTGCAGGTGGGGTTTGTAGTAATAGCACAGGGCTACCCCTCTGCTTGGGGTTGCTCTTGCTCTTGTGGGGGGGGGGATGCCCTAGTGAAGGCCTGAGGGGGGGGTCCAAAGAACCAGTCTGGTTTGCACAAGGGTTGTGGGTCTGCCTTTGGCTTGTCCTGCAGGCAGGTTTTGGAATACAAATTCAGACGGCCCCTTGTTGGGGGTGGTGTAGGTGCTTGGCCTTCAAGAAGGAAGCCAAGCACTTGCCCTACAGCTCAGGATCACACCACCAGAGCTCTTGAAGGGAAGCTCCTAGAGGACTCACCAGGCTTCACAGTTCTTATTTGTGACCCTCTTTCCCAGCAAGTGTGCCCCTGCAGGACAATGCAGGTGGGGTTTGGAGTGATAGCACAAGGCTTCCTCCTCTGCTTAGGGTTACACTGGCTCTTGAGGTGGGAGAGTAGAGAGCTTATCACCCCCCTCTATCCCTGAAGCTCACTGCCAGAAGCCCTGGTGAAGGCCTCTGAGGAGGGGTGCTCCAAAATCCCAGTTCTGGTTTGCACCTTGCTCCAGTGGTGGTTCTGCACTTGGCTTGAGGTGCAGGCAGGTTTTGGGATGCAAATCCAGGCTTTGGGAATGAAAATTCAGATGACCCATTGTTGAGGGTGGTGCAGGACCTTAGCAGGTTAGTTAGCTGCTGGCTTTCTTGCTTGACTGTGCCTGGCCAGAGATCCTGAAGGGAGGCTTGCAAGTGTAGCTATCTGCAGCATGAGGCCCTGCGCAGGGTGCCTTCCCGTGGGGACTGCACCCACCTAACCTGTGGGAGGGGGAAGACTGGCTCTTGTTCCGCAGCCACTCAGTTCAATGTTCGTCTAAAGCTGTCTACAGTTTCTCCAGATGAAAAAGCACTGTTCAGGTCCCTTTTGGGGACAGCCTGCAGTTCTTTGTGCCAGACTCAAGCTTGGCAGGGTGGTGTCACCAGTATTTGGAGGACAGGGTTAGTGCACTTCTCCAGCTGGTGCTGTAAGAATAGAAGTGGGAGTGGCCTAGGAGATGGCATCTGGGGACTGTGTGAAATGTTAGATCAGGACCTCAGAAGCCTGCCTTCCTGATCTCCAGCACTTTGCAACCCTGATCTTCTCCTTCTGGCTTCCATATGCCCTGAGTCTCCTTCCCTCCCCCAGAGCTCCGGGTGAGTGCCTGAGAGCCAGTCCCTGTGCAGTGGCCTTTGCAGAGAACACCCTGGATTCAGGCAGACTCCCTCCCCTTTCCAGTGGACAAAGGCCTCACTTATTTTTGCTGCCAGATGCTATGCAGGCTCTTCTTCCAGGCCCTGGTGTTGTGGGTTAGGGGTCCTGGCATGGGATTGAGACCCTCTTTCCAATGGGGTGCTTTTGAAGCCACAATATTTTTCTAGCTTCACAGATGCTGCCCCTGGGTGCAGGGGCCAGCCCTTCTGTGCCTCCACCCCTCTTACCAGTCTTTGTGTAGCTTCTTTTTTTCTATCCTTAGATATAATACTCCTGTTCAGGTGTCCTTCTGTTGTTAATTCAGGTTAATTGCTCTAAGTCTTAGGTGTATCTCCCATTTGGAACTGGGAGCAGGTGTATATCGCTTTCACCTATTCCACCACCATCTTTAATCTCCACCCCTCCAGAAGTTTTTTTCAGCCTGTGTGAGTCTTTTGTTCTGTGGTGGGTGTCTTGGAGACAGCATATATTTGGGTCATGTTTTCTTACCCATTCAGCTACCCTATGTCTTTTGAGTGGAGCATTTAAACAATTTATATTTAAGGTTGTTATTGATAGGTACTTATCTATTGTCATTTTATTTCTTTATGCCTATGTTTACCTTTCTTTCTACTTCTAGTTCTTATTACAGCAGTCCCTTTATTTTCTTGCAATGCTGGTTTGGTGGCGATAAACTCCTTTAGCCTTTTTTTTTTTTTTTTTCATCTGGGAAGCTTTTTATTTCACCATCTATTTTGAATGACAGCCTCACTGGAGAGAGTGTTCTTGTTTTCAGATCCTTGCTTTTCATTATATTGAATATTTCCTGCCATTCCCTCCTGGCCTGCAGAGTTGCTGATGAGAAATCAGCTGACAGCCTTATGGGAGCTCCTTTGTAGGTAACGGATTGCCTTTTTCCTTGCTGCCTTTAAGATTCTCTCTGTCTTGAATTTTTGGCGTTTTAATTATGATGTGTCTGGGTGTGGGCTTCTTTGGATTCTTCTAGCTTGGGACTCTCTGTGCCTCCTGAACTTGTGTGATTTTTTCCTTCACCAGGTTAGGGAAGTTTTCTGCCATTATTTCTTCAAACAGATTCTCTGTCCTTTGCTTATTCTCTTCCCCTTCTGGCATTCCCATAATGAGAATATTGTTATGTTTCATGTTGTCCCACAGCTCCCTTAAACTGTCCTCCTGTTTTTTTTAATTGTTTTTTCTTTTGGGTTTCGATTGATTTTTTTCTACCCTGTCTTCTAATTCACTGATCTGATTCTCAGCTTCCCCTTCTGCTGTTTATTCCTCCCAATGTATTTTTTACTTTTACTATATCATTCTTAATTTTCTTCACAGTTTCCATCTTTTCTCATGCTGTTGAGCATCCTTACAATCAGTATTCTGAACTCTATATCTCATAGATTGCTTATCTCCATTTCATTTAACTCATCTTCAGTAAAATTCCTTTGCTCTTCCATTTGGGGCTTTTTTTTTTTTGTCTCCCCATTTTGGCTGCCTGTTTGTGTTTGTTTTTATGTATTAAGTAGATCTCTAGGACTCCCAGGCTTTTGGATGGTCTCTGTGCTAGCCAATGTCAGAAGCTGTTTGTGACTCGCTTTGAAAACCCTGTTTCAAGCTTTCCACAATGCACACCTTATGCTTTCCTCTGCTGAGGCTGGGTGTATTTGGACAGGATCAAGATGTGTACTAAGGTCGGCTTTCCCAAACCCTGGGTCCAGAAGAAAATAAGGAAAAGACTCAAAGCACCCAGAGGCTGATTGTTATTCACAGTTTCTTTACACCTTGCTGACCAGCTATTTGGAACCAGAACTCGCTTGTGTGGCTGACTACTTTTCTGCACTTGAATATTAAATGAAAGCATCTGAATAAACTTAAGTGTACTTTATTTTGTCCTGTCCTATATTTATATTACTATATGTGGAAACTAAACATTGCAGATATTTTAATATTTTTAAACATTTAATATTTTTTTAAATGTGATATGTTGTATAACATCTGTCTGCATGCAGTGGTACTAAACAAGTATTACATACATATTGTGTTTTACTATGTTTTCCCTTAGAAGAACATACTTTACACCCCTAGTGGAAATTTTTTTTTTTTTTTTTTTTACTGCTTGTTACTATTTTTTGTAAAACTATCTTTTAAAACTTTTGCCATAATAAAAGATGGATGGAAATAATTAGATGTATTGCCTGTCATATCTCTGGAAATACTGACTGATGAGTTGAGAAAAAGGCATGCATAAAGAGGAAAACTAGGGACAGCCGAAATAAGTGTCAAGCAGTGAAGTGCAGACCCCTAGTTATCTCATGACCAGTAAATGACATTGGGAATGGAAACACAAGTTAACTTGTGACCAGCCAGCAATGTTTTGGGGTTTAGATCCCAGAGTTCTCAGTGGAACCCCCCGGACAACTGAGATATTCCTCAGGAACTTCAGCTGCTGCCTGTGAGAGCCCACCCAGCCCTCTCATGCCTTCGTACTTCCTACCTAGCCTTCAGTTGATTATTCAGGATGGTTTTTCTCTATTTTAGTTGTAATTCTAGTTTGGTCCTGGGAGAATATAAGTGTAGCTTCCACTTAATCCACCACCATCTTGGAATCCCATGTATGGCCTTCATTATGTTGAGGTATGTTCCCTATATTCCCATTTTTCTGAGAGTTTTTATCATAAATGGGTGCTGAATTTTATCAAATGCCTTTCTCTGCATCTATTGATGTGATCATGTGATTTTTGTCCTTCCTTTTGTTTATGTGATGTATCATGTTTATTGATTTGTGAATATTGTACCAACCTTGCATTCCTGGAATAAATCCCACTTGGTCATGGTGTATGATCTTTATAATGTATTGCTGGATTTGGCTTGCTAGTATTTTGTTGAGAATTTTAGCATCTATGTTCATTAGGGATACTGGCCTATAATTTTCTTTCATTGTAGTGTCTTTATCTGGTTTTGGAATTAGGATAATGCTGGCCTCATAAAATGGATTTTTTGGAATAGTTTGAGAAGGATAGGTGTTAGATCTTCTTTGAATGTTTAGTAAAATTTGCTGTGAAACTATTTGGTGTAGGACTTGGGAGGTTTTTGGTTACTGCTTTGATTCCATTAGTTTTAATTGGCATATTCAAATATTCTGATTCTGTTTTTGAAGGTTGTATGTTTAGAAGAATTCATCCATTTCACCCAAGTTTTTCAGTTTCTTGGCTTATAGTTGTTCATAGTTTTTTCTTAAAATCCTTTGCATTTCTTTGGTGGCAGTTGTTACTTCCCTTTCAATTGTAATTTTATTTATTTAGCTTCTCTCTCTTTTTTTCTTGATGATTCTGGTTAGTTATGTCAGTGTTGTTTATGTTGTTTATTTTTGCAAAGAACCAGCTGTTGGTATTTTTTACCTTTGGTTTTTTAGTTTTTGGTGGGTATTTTTTTGTTTTTTTGTTTGTTTTTGGTCTCTCTGTCATTTATTTCAGCTCAGATATTTATTATTTCCTTTTTTGTATTTACTGTGGGCTTTTTTGTTGTTGTTCTTTTAGGTGTAGGGTTAGACTTTTTATTTGAGATTTTTCTTGCTTCTTGAAGTGGGCCTGTAATGGTTTGAATTTCCTACTCAGGACTGCTTTTGCTGTGTCCCTTAGATTTTTTTATTTGTTGTGTGTTCATTTTTGTCTCCAGGTAGCTTTTGATTTCTTCCTTAACCTTGTTGTTAACCCATTCATTGTTTAATAACATGTTATTTGACTTACTTGTGTTTGAGTATATTTCTGTTTTTATCTTGTCGTTGATTTCTAGTTTCACACTGTCATGGTCAGAGGAGATTTTTAATATGATTTTAATATTCTTAAATTTACTGAGACTTGTTTTGTGTCCTAACATGTGATTTATTATAGAGAAAGTTCACTTGTGCACTTGAAAATAATATATATTCTGCTGCTTTTGGGTGAAATGCTCTGAAAATATCAATTAAATATATCTGATCTAGTGTTCATTTAAGGCTGCTGTTTCCTTGTTTATTTTCTGTCTGGAAGACCTATCGATGTCCATGGGGTGTTAAAATTCGCTACTATGATTGTATTACTGTCAATCTCTCCCTTTATGTCCATCAGGATTTATTTTATATATTTAGGTGCTCCTATGTTGGATGCATAAGTGTTTACAAGGGTTATATCCTCTTGTTAGATTGCTCTCTTTATCATTTTGAAATGTCCTTTGTCTCTTAAACCCTTTGTTTGTTTGTTTGGTTGGTTGGTTGGTTGGTTTGTTTTGTTTTGTTTTGTCTTAATCCTTACCAAGGATAATTTTTTCCATTGCTTTTCAGAGAGAGAGAGAGACATTGATGGGAGAGACACTCATCAATTGGTTGCCTCCCACTCAAGCACTGACTCTGGCCAGGGGTTGAACCTGCAACTGAGGTACATGCCCTTGGCCAGAGTCAAACCCAGTATCCTTCAGTCCAAGGGCTAATGCTCTAACCACTGAGCAAAACTGGCTAGGGCATATCATTTATTTTTTAATTTTTAAAAATATGTCTTCATTGATTTCAGAGAGAGGAAGGAAGGAGAGAGAGAGATAGAAACATCAATGATGAAAGTCATTGATTGGCTGCCTCCTGCTCACCCCCGACTGGGGATCGAGCCTGCAACCCTGGCATGTGCCCTGACTAGGAATCGAACTGCGATCTCCTGGATCAAAAGTCAATGCTCAACAACTGAGCCACGCCAGCCAGGCCATATCCTTTTTTTTTAAAGTCTATTTTGTCAGATACAAGTATTGCTACCCCTGCTTTTTTTCTTCTGTGTCCATTTATTTGCATGGAATATTTTTTCCAACCTTTTACTTTTATTCTGTGTGCATTTTTTTGTTTGTTTTGAGGTGGGTGTCTTGTAGACAGTATATATATGGGTCATGTTTCCTTTTTCTTTTTTAAAAGATTTTTTAAATTAATTTTTAGAGTGGAAGGGAGAGGAAGAGCGAGAGAGAAACGTTGATATGAGAGTGAGACATCTATTAGCCAATAGACATCTATTAGCCTTCCACACACACCCTGCCCTGGACTGAGCTCAAACCCTGGGCATGTGCCTTGACCAGGAATTGATCCAGCAACCTTTTGATGCATGGGACAACAGCCAACCAACTGAGCCACACCACAGAGCTGGTCTTGTTTTCTTACCCATTCAGCTACCCTATGTCTTTTTATTGGAGCATTTAATTTTTCTTTTACCATTCAGTCATAGATTTGCCTTTTAAAAAATTACTGTGGGTTACACCATTGCTGCTTTCTTTTTATTTTTTCTCTTTTCCCTTAGTGCTTCAAAATTGTCATCTAGTTATGGCCTTATTTTATGATCTCCCATGTCTACAGTCTAACTGTGGACTTTGAGGGTACCATTCCCTACACTTGGGGACAGCTATTTGCTGTATGTTACATTAGTAATTATACTTACTGACATTCTGTTCCCTCTTGATCAGTATATTGCAACACTGACTTGGTCTTTCTGACCAATTCATTTATTTTGATATTTTACAGAAACTATTTGTACCCTGTGTGCAGGAAATTGAGTTAATTATAGTTTTCAGTTTGTCTTCAATGTTATCATCAATGTGCTTCAGATAAGATGGTCATTTCTTATTTATTTTTATCCCTTTTACTTGCCACCCCTCACACTCACTGTCATTCTCCCCAGAGGATAAATTTGCTCTGATACATGTGATATGGTTGCCATTTATCTTTGAATTTGTGGGGTATCTGTAAAATTTAAATTGTTGGTATTTTTTTTTATAGAAATGGTACTGTGCTATATATTCTACTCAGTTTCTTTTTTTTCCCTTAACACTAAATTGATATTTCTGGTTTATTCTAACTGATGCCTCACTCCCTAGTGTGGGGGTACACCACATTTTACTCGTCCTGCTTCCAGCTGCGATAGTCAGTCCTGCAATAAATTCCTTCACAAACCATTTTCTTGTAGAAAGTGAGACTTTCTTGGACAAGAGTGAGGTTGCTTTATTACTGGATGTACTAATACTTTGTTTAACTAAGTATCACCACATTATTTTCTCAATTGGATGCACCATTCTACAACCCTCTCAGTGCACAAGGTCATAAAATTAAGTTCTTGAATTTATGTGATAGGGCAGAGGATGTTATTTTGCTGTGTTTCAGAAGGACTTAAATTTTTTTCTGCTAGGAGAATTTAAAAGGGCCAATAATTGTAATTGGAAAGGGAAGATAACTGCATGAAATGTTTAAATTTGGGGGCTTTAAGCATTTGTTGTGGAACAATCTATGCCAATTAAGCATAGATTAAAATATCCAGCCTTTGTTTTTTTCTTTAAAGTTAAAAGAAATGAGAGTCTCCCTAGAGGTCTGCTGAGACGTCAGATTCGTTTTTAGAGCATAAAGCCCTAAATGACCCATGAAGAGCAACAGATTTTGAATAGGAACAGAGGATCAGAAATAGGAAGCTCAAAGGGAAAAGGAAAAAAATGTATCTTTGGATTCAGTAATAAAACAGACATGACTCGTGGAAGGACAGCTTGCATACACACATATCATTGGCCTGTTACTCTTTATTTTATTAGATAAGTAATTGAATCAGTTGTGACAGAGGCATTATATATAATAAACTTTTATCACAGGAGCAACATTTTTACATTGAACATTGTTGGTAGTAATGTAAATAATATCATATATAACAACAGGCTTATAAACCAAAGAAAGCTAAAGGTTGCAAAAAATCAAAATTTATGTTTAGAAATCCAGTGTTAGATCTATTAGGTGCCATTAATGTGTGTGATTAAAAATCTAATATAACAGTTAAAGCATGCATTTAGGGATAGGCAAACGCCTTAGAAACAGAATGAAATAAATATGAGGTTGGACCGTGTGTTCAAGAACTCTAGTAGAGTAAGATAATAGTCTAATCTAGTTTTTACATAAATATGTACTGGGAGTTGATTACAGGATTGGAATATTAGTGGTTCTTATCTGGGCAAGAATGGTGTATTGGGGTAAAGCCAGGCTCCTGTCACTAAGAAATGTGAGAGCTTAATGCCCATGGTCCAGGTATGCTGGATAGCTCTGCTTCCTGTAGCCACTCAGGGGCAAACTTTCTTGAAAGCTATCGCATCATTGCCTAGAGCAAGGATTGGCAAACAGATCCAGAAGTAAATACTTTTAGCTTTGTGAGCCATGTGATTGCTGTCATAGCTACTCAGTTCTGCAGTTATAGCCCCAAAGCAGCTGTAGACAAATGCATCACTGAATGGACATGACTGTATTTCATTAAAAACTTTGTAAACAGCCCGGCCGGGAGTGGCTCAGAGGTTGAGCGTCGACCTAGGATCCAGGCGATCGGGGTTTGATTCCCGGTCAGGGCACATGCCCGGGTTGCGGGCTCGATCCCCAGTCGGGGGCGTGCAGGAGGCAGCCGATCAATGACTCTCATCATTGATGTTTCTCTCTCTCTCTCCTTCTCCCTTCCTCTCTCTGAAATCAATAAAGATATATTTTTTAAAAAAAACAACTTTGTAAACACACAAATTTGATTTTCATATAATTTTTGTGTGACATGAAGTATTATTTTTCTGTTGACTTTTTTCAACCATTCAGAAATATAAAATCTAATTTTGGCTTTTGGGTGGAGGCCTGGAGTTAGCCTGAGGGCTGTAATTTTATGACCTCTGCCTAGGGCATTGCCAGCTGCTTAGAACTGGGTGCTGCCACTGGGAAAAAAGAAAGGTAGGGGAGATGCACCCAGTTTCTTAAGATAATGACCTTGTCACAACAAATACAATTTTTAATCCTATTTAATTGATGAGAACTGAATTATTTGGCTTCACTCAATGACAAATGACCTGCTGTTGTGAGTCAGCCACGTGCTTGAATGAAGGGAATAGATTTTGATGGACAACTTTTAGTCCCTGCTTCTGGTGATTTTCCTCTATTATATGCTTCTGATTCGATGCATGTGTCTCTACCCCAAACCAGGGACAAAGAGTTAAATCACGGACATTTATTTACTATGTGGCTGAGGATTACTGAAGTTACAGTAGTTTTACTATACATAAATAAATTGGTATTTAAGGAACAGTGGTTAATTTTTCCCCAGGAAGATTGGCAAGGGTTTACAGATCAAGATAATAATCTAGACTCGGAAATATGTCTTTTCAGCCACACAGTTTGTCACCTTGTTCTGACACCTTCCTGTGTGGTTCTGCTACATACTTGGAGCTGACGGGCTTCATCCTCCCTAATTACTAAACATTCAATTTGAGCAAATTACTTCACTCTTCTTGGTTCAGTTTACTTGTCTATAAAACACAGACAATAATAATAAAACAGTAAATTGTTGCGATGATGTTTAAATGAATTAATATATAACTTAGAATGATTCCTTGAACATCTAAATGTAATATCAGTGCTTATTTTATTGCTATATATTATTATATTACATATAAATAGGTCACTATGCATATGCTTATGTGTATTTCATATATTTTTATATATTTGTTATATTTACATAGAACTCTCATTTTCTGGCTCACGCTGAATGAACTCCATATTTTATTACTCCTGTGATCTGTTAACTGTTCTTTGTGTGTTTTATTTTTCTTTCTTTTGCAGATCAGGATATTGGTTCTGAAACTTCACAACAGGGAATGTCTGAAAAAGTTTCAATCAAGTCTGAGAGAATTGATCTTTTCACAAGAGATAACTCATATTTCATTTTAGAATTGTGGCAAGATAGTGAACAGACAGGGAGATATGAGGAAAACCAGAACAAACCTTTAAGTCACACTGTCTTCATCAACAAAGAAACACTAGCTAGTGAGAAGAACTATGGATATAAGGACATTGTAAACACACACTTTAGTCCTACAAAAAAAAAGGCTCTATAACTCATTTGGAGAGAGTTTGAAGCCTATTGTAAGCTTATGCAATTATAATAGAAACAATGTAACAGAAAGTCTTGATCAAAAGATTATTGGATATGGTAATATTTTTACTCATACAGATTCTTATACAGAAATGAATGCTTGGGAATGTAATCAATGTAAGAAACTTCTCAGTCATAAGCAAGCTCTAATTCAACATCAAAATATTCACACTGGGAAGAACCTTTATGGATTTTCTGGTTGTGTAAACATCTTCACCCAGAAGTCACACCTCTTTGCACATGATAATATTTATACTGAAGACAAACAGAATGATTGCAGCAAATGTGAGACAGTCTTTACTCAGAATTTCCAACTTGCTATACCTCAGAAGGTTTATACAGGAGAGAAATCTTATATATGCTCTGGATATGGGAAGGACAGTTCCCTCAAGTCAAACCATGAGAAAAGTCATACTGCAGGAAATTACTATAAATGCATTGAATATGGAAAAGCCTATATTCAGAAGTCAGATCTGTTCAGATGTCAAGGAATTCATTCTGGAGAAAAACCCTATAAATACAGTGAATGCGGGAGAAACATCTCTCAGCAGTCAAACCTCAATACACATAAAAAAAGTCATAGTGGAGGGAAACACTTTGAATGTACTGAATGTGGGAAAGCCTTCACAAGGAAATCAACACTGAGTATGCACCAGAGAATTCATACAGGAGAAAAACTGTATGTTTGCACTGAATGTGGGAAGGCCTTTATCTGGAAGTCACATTTTATTACACAGGAGAGAATTCATACTGGGGAGAAACCTTATGAATGCACTGACTGTGGGAAATCTTGTATAAAGAAGTCACAACTCCATGTGCATCAGCGAATGCACACAGGAGAGAGTCCCTTTATATGTTCAGAGTGTGGGAAGGTCTTCACCCACAAGACAAATCTCATTATACACCAGAAAATTCACACTGGAGAAAGACCCTGCATCTGTACTGAGTGTGGGAAGGTCTTTACTGACAGGTCAAATCTCATTAAGCACCAGAAAATTCATACTGGAGAGAAACCCTATAAATGCAATGACTGTGGAAAATCATTCACCTGGAAGTCAAGGCTCAGAATACATCAGAAATGTCATGCTGGAGAGAGACACTCTGAGTGCAGTGAGTGTGGGAAAGCATTCATTCAGAAGTCAACACAGTATGCACCAGAGAATTCATAGAGGGGAAAACCCTATGTTTGCACTGAATGTGGGAAGGCCTTCTTCCACAAGTCACATTTTATTACACATGAGAGAATTCATACTGGGGAGAAGCCTTATGAATGCAGGGACTGTGGGAAGTCCTTTATTAAGAAATCACAACTCCATGTGCATCAGCGAATGCACACAGGAGAGCGACCCCATGGATGTGCTGACTGTGGAAAGGCTTTCACTGACAGATCAAACCTCTTTACTCACCAGAAAATTCTTACTGGAGAGAAACCTTATAAATGTAGTGACTGTGGAAAAGCCTTCACTCGAAAGTCAGGCCTCCATATACATCAGCAGTCTCACACTGGAGAGAGACAATATAAGTGCAATGAATGTGGAAAAGCCTTTGCAAGAAAATCAACGCTAGTTATGCATCAAAGGATTCACACAGGAGAGAAGCCCTATATTTGTACTGAGTGTGGGAAGTCCTTCATCCAGAAGCCCCACTTAAATCGACATTGGAGAGTTCACTCTGGAGAGAAGCCTATGAGTGCCGTGACTGTGGGAAGGCCTTCAGTGAGAAATCACAGCTCCATGAGCATGAGCGACCTCATGCAGGAGAGACCACGCGCATGTGCTGAACGTGAAGGGCCTTCACCATCAGATCAGATCTTATTAAACACCAGAAAATTCACACTAAACAAAAACCCGATAAATGTAGTGACTCTAGGAAAGCCTTACACTGGAAGACACAACTCAGTATACATCCGAAATCTGGTACTGAGGAGGTGGAGTGCCCAATGCCACAATCGTGGTGTGGGGATAAAACGCTGTGCGGTGCTATAGCTTCACTAAGAAGCAGGCGGTAACCAACGCCACCTTTCCTCTAATCGTCAGCACAAATGTCTGGATCACACTGCTGATGTAGTTACACTCATGGGGAGAAACTTTAGAGACAGTGTCTAAGCAACATATAATGGTCTTGCTTGGCTAACGACAGACTCTGGCATCGTCAAGCTCCTGCAGATAAAGGTAAACATGTAGGAGATCGCAGCATTCTTTCTTGTTTCGCATTTTGGATAAACAGCTTGATGAATTCAGAGCTGTTGAGTGTTTCATGCCCTGGGTAGCAAAAATACTTAGGTATTTTAATTACTAAGCACCCTAAAGACATGAGATCAAGGCAAAAGTACAATTTAGGTCTGTAATAAAGAGAAGCCAGAAGGTTCTGTGAAAATTGACATTAAAGCCTCTACTTTCTTTGGGAAATCACTATTTTTTACTGTAGTGATACTAATAGATACTAAGAAAACTTTAAATATACACTTTGGCTTGAGATTGGAAAACCAGAACCCCAGGCTTACCTGAATATTTACAGACATCTTTGTTTATTTAACCCTCAAGAGAGGATACTTTTTCCTTTGCTTTCCGGAGAGAGTGGAAGAGGAGGTGGGGAGGGGAGAGAGACATCAAGACATCAGGTGGTTGCCTCCTGCACACGGCCTGGGCCAGGGTCGAGCCTGCAACTGAGGTATGTGTCCTTGGCTGGAATCGAACCCAGGACCCTTCAGTCCACGGGCTGACGCTCTGACCACTGAGCCAAACCATCCAAGGCTTTCCAGGCATCTTTAGATAACCAATGTGTTCTCTCATTTATTAATTCCCTTCATGGCAGCAGGTAACTCACCCCCAACCGGTGTAAAGTGCTCCCAGACTATATTTCAAAAGTGACCAGTTGTGTAAGCCGTTGACTACCTGTCACCTTATAACTGCCCTGAAATCATGGAACTTAACCACAGGTCACAGATCCAGACATGGGCACTTCACATTCTCAGCCTCATCCACAGAAACCTACACTTTTTTCTTTTTAAACTGATTCCTGTTCAGAAAAGAGACAATTTAGGAAAATGGCTCTGCCCCAGCCAGTGTGGCTCAGTTGGTTGAGCGTCGTCAACCAACTTTCATTAATGCCATCCTGGCAGTGGCCACGTACGAGTTCCAAACCCAGGCGTTGCCAGGCCCAGACTGAGCGTCACCCACGCACCAAGAGTCACTGTCCTGATTCCTGATCAGGTGCAGGGGGCAGCTGATCAATGTTTTCTCTCTCTCCCTCTCCCTTCCTTTCTCTCTAAAAATCAATAAAAACATTTTTTGAAAAAGAAAATCGGTTTCAAAACCCAGAATTCTTACCTTCCAATTTTGTTAAAACATTCTTTACATATTCATTACATGCTAGGTTATTATGAGAATCAATTGTCTTGAATTCAAGCGTGTTTTTTAATAAGATGTAACAGCTGCACATTTGGAAGAATACTCCTGCTATCCCTTCTTAATCTTTACAAATCAATATTATTTAATTGTGTTTTCAAACCCTCTATATCTTTTGTTTCTTACTCCATCAGACACTGAAGTGTCTTATAATCTTTCAGAATAATCATGAATTTGTCTCTTAGATCTACCAATTTTGGCTTTACATAACTTGAATCTTTGTTTTTATATACATTTAAATTTAGAAGTTTTCCTTTTTTCTGGTTAATTGAAGCTTAATCATTATGAAAGTCCCTCTTTAATCTCTAGTGATGCTTTTTGCCTTAAAATTTACTATGTCAAATCATAATATTATTACAATATGAATACTTATTAAATTAATATTCACACCATTTTCTGAACAAGGTAATAAGTTAGAACATTAATTCCATTTATTATCTTTTTTACTTATATGGTGTTGATGTGATGTGTTTGAATTCTGGATGTAGTTGATATGGCCAGCCATTGTTTCAGAGTTAACATTCATTTAAATTAACCCACATATTTACCTTTTCATTAATTTTTTATTCCTTCTTCTAACTTCCTCCAGAATTATTTTTCTTCTGACTAAAGAACGTCCATTAGTATCTTTTTTTTTTTTTTTAACCCTCACCCGAGGGTTTCAGAGAGAGTGGAAGGCGGAGGGAGAGAGTGAAAGATGAATGTCAATCAGTTGCCTCCCGTTGGGTGCCCCAACCGGAGATCAAACCTACCACCTAGATATGTGCCTTGACTAGTACTCGGATTCACCACCTTATCGGTGCAGGAGAAGGTGCTGCGACCAACTGAGCCACCTGGCCAGGGCTCGCCTCCACTTTTGAAAGACATTTTTATAGGTATAGAATTCTAGGTTGGCAGTGATTTTCTATTAGTATTTTGAAGATATTTTGTCTTTCATTGTTAGTTGAAAAGTAAGCTTTCAGTCTAATTATTTTTACGGTAATATGCCCCCCCCATTATTTCACTCCTTTAAAATTTATGTCTATGCCTTAGGCTGTTAGCAGTTGCACAGTGACATGCGTTGGTATGATTTTCTATGTATTTATCCTACTTGGGGTTTGCAGTATGTTTTTAAATCTGTAGATTAGTGGGGATTTTCTTTTTGCACATTTTTGGAAATTTCTAGTATTTATTCAAATTATGCATGTGTCAGACATTATATATTAAAAGTTGTAGAGCCCTGGCCGGTTAGAGCATCAACCCACAGACTGAAGGTTCCCGGGTTCGATTCCAGCCAAGGGCAGGTATCTCCGTTGCAGGCTCGATCCCTGGCCCAGGTCAGGGCACGTGTGGGAGACAACCAATTGGTGTGTCTCTCTCACATGATGTTCCTCTCTCTCTTTCTCCCTCTCTCTCAAAAAGTTGTAAGTTGGATGGTCTGGATGATATCATCTTCCTGAGAGAATTTACTTTTACTTATGACCTGACTAGGCTAAAAACACTAGCAATTCCCAATTACCTTTATCCAATCATGTGCTGAGATTATTGGAAATGGGGCTTAAGTCCCTGTGAAGGTTTGTCTTTTTTATTTTTTTTAACTTTTATTCCTAGGGGATACTCTTAAGGTTTAGAACTTTGAAAGAATTATCAGTCCCATCATTGGAAGGGCCTTAATTCTAGTATTTGTCCTTTTAGTCTCATAAGTTTGTTAAAAACTGTCTTAACCCTCTCTTGCTCAGTATTTAAGAATTTGCTTTGTAATAAACAGTCTTAAATCCCAGAGGTTGTATCTCTCATCTTATCCCTGCAGTGTTTTACTTTCTTGGTAGCTCTCCAATGCCATTGCTAAATTAAATGCATCTAATATTCTCTTCCCCTGCTTTGTTCTCTAAGGGAGGACGGGTTTGTACCACTGGCTCTGCCATTAGCAGAAGCTTTCAGTTCACTGGGATAGATGTTCCTATTTAAGGAATGTGAAGTCCAGAAATATGTATTTTTTAATTACCCAAACTTTCCTAACTTAAATGTGAAAATGCTCTGATTTGCAACATTACTCTATTCCCATTTTTTGTTGCTAGAAGTTAAGGCATTTACTCTTTTGTTAAAGACTTTATAAACTTTGATACAGAAGAGAAAATTACTTCTGGCGGTGTCAAATTTTATTATAGTAGCTGCCAAATTTTAACAAAAGGAGATTGACCTACGAGCCTTTCGGATATCTTTTTTAATCGTATGTTTTTCCCCCCTTTGGGTTATTTTTTTAAAAAGTTAATGAAGACTGGTCTAAGAGCCCACGGGTTTGAAATAGGAATCAGAGGTCACTTTGGTAGGATTACTGAGGAGGTGCTTCTCAGCCTTTTAATTCTAAGGACAGTTTAAAAATATAATTCTTCGTAACCAAGCCACCACCCCCCAAAAAATGAGAAAAGAGAAACTTTACCTTCTTTTAAAATCTTCACTGGAAATTTTTTTTTTATTAATTTTTTAAAAATTGGTTTGAGAGAGAGGGCGAGAGAGACACCGATGTGTGAGAGACATCGACTGGTCGCCTCCTGCACGCGCCCCAACCGGGGATGGAACCCACCACCTCTTGGTGCACAGGGCGGCGCTCCAGCCTCACCAGCCAGGGCAAGAAGCTTTACCTTTTGTCAACAGTTTTGATCTGTAGGAGAAGGGAGACCTTTTTTGTGTGGGCCTCTATATGTTTCAAAAGGCACTTGGGAGTTGGCTGAGGAACAGATAATGGAAAATTAGAAACTGACTAGGAGGCTGTGCCAGTTGAACGCCAAGGTCACCATAAATTGGAGGCACGTGGGGCGTAGCCTTTACTGGGAAAGTGAGTGCCCTGTCTTTTTATGCCAGCACTGTGACAGTTCGTTTGTATTCACAGCAAAACTATTTTAAGTGTCTTGCAGTTTACATTTTTATTATTTATTGTTTTCATTCTAAGCTTTTTACTTTATTATAAAAGTCATGAGATGATTAATGGACTTTTTATTCTGTTTTATGAAACCATTTCTCTTAGGTAAATCCATACCTCAGGAGAGTTTTCTGTGTCCCAGCAAATCCCGTTTGGCCCTGGACACAGGCCTTCAGTCCCAGTTTCACAGCTTTTCCCCACTGATGTGGCCCTCTGTGTGTACCGCTCCTGTGGCCTGTACCTGTGTGTTCTTTTAAATTAAGGTATTGGGGTGTCATTGGTTCATGAAATTATATAGGTCTCAAGTGTACAATTCTACGATACATGCTTTTTAAATTAATTTTTTAAAAAGGAATCTCATTCTGTGAATTCAGTAAATATAAGAAAACCTTCGCTCAAACCAACCAGAGTTTAATTATATATCAGATAATTCACTGGGGGAGAGAATTTTCTGTTTTAAAAATGTGGGTAGGACTTTATTCACAAATCACTGTGTTACATAGCAGAGAAGTCATGATGCTGGAGAGAAACCTTATGAATACATGACTAGAAAATCATTCATTGAAAAGTCAACTCCTTAACAGCAAATTCAGACATGAGAGAAATAACAGTCAAATCTCATTGTGCACTAGAAACTCATTTTGGAGAGAGAAGCCTACAAAAGCAGTGACTAGAAAACTCTTTACCTGGAGCTATTTTTTT